ATCGACACTCAACAATGCCATTACTTTGGAAGTGAGCTTTGCTGTCCAGCTACATGCGAAACGCCAGCACGCCTGGTAAGGTGACAGAGTAAAAAGGAGCTTTTTTGCAAAATCCACCGTCGCGTCAGGATATACGGTTGTAGGAAAAAGGTCCTCCCAGTACCAGGAAAAAAACAGAACAGGCAAGCACCGGTGACAACCGTACTTAAACACAGTTGAGCTCAGCAGTTTTTGGAGGAAATTGTGTCGAATTCATTCTTAAATGCAGATCCCCTCTACAAAGTGCCACTTCCTCTCAACCAGTACATCGAAGAATAATTAGTCTTCGCGAGAATTACTTGAACTCCTAATTATCTGACCGTATGTAACGATCTGAAGAAAAGGGCAGTTTCTGGCATATTATGACGACGATCAACCTGGAGAATAAGCCCGAGGTCAATACAAACGAATTGGAGGTAATGGAATCATGACACTTCAGATTTTGACAAAACCCTGTGCTGATTCGTGTTCTAGGCTAAGGAAGAGCGGAGAAGCTCTATACGATTAATAAATGTACTGCGTTATTGGTATTTTGCAATGATAAACAAAAATAACATGCTCAAAGACCTACCTTCTTGTGCCTCGGCGAGGCACTGCTTGATGTAGGCGTCTAGAACGTTACGATCGAGATCGGAGCCTTTTGGTACCTGCACATTAATTTTGGGTGCGACGTTGTCGCGTAGGTGGGAGAATATGCCGGCGGCGTAACGCAGAGACTTGTGCACATCGACTGCCTCTTCGACACTGACTCTTTACCAAGAACAAAAAGCGCCGCAAAGTTAGAAAAAAATAATCGACTAACAGAAATCAAGGGCAAGTTTGGAATCGCATTATGGCTTGAGATAGTCACTGCAAGTAATATAATATGCATTGCTTATTTAGAAAGATGAAGTCAAACGAGTGGACTGATTAACCAGCGGAAAACAACGAGAACTTCGGGAAGGGGAGGGAGCATAAGCCCAGGTCAACAAGCGATGTTTGATTTCAAAAGCCAAAGTCAAAGTGTACAATTATATGAAATTGAGAAAACATCTGTGTTAAAAAGCAAGCTGGCATAATGCGCGTTAGCAATTGGGTTTATGAGCAAAGTAGCTGCACTTCGAACTCTCCTAGCAATCTTCATAGTTTCAGTTCGGTTTTTTTTACCATCATTGTGTGGTCCGCTCGGCCATGCCCAGGCAACACGGTTCCTAACTCAGTCATAATATGGTTGTCCATATTATTGCGTGTGTCGCGGTATAACGGGTGACTGTTTATTTATTTTCAATATTTCCAAGGAAGTACGGAGAAAAACTTAAGTGGCTAAAAAAGTCATCTCACCGTACGAAACCACTTCAATCAAGGGAATCTTAATTAACGCACTTGCCCTACGAAGTACGGCGACCGAGTCTTGCATGAGGTGGGTTAGTAAGAATGTGTGGACAAACAGCGGGAATATGCATCAGGACAGCCATCGATTAAAAAAGATGAAACTGAAGGAACAAAAAATTCCGAGACACAGAGCATTCACTTACTGACTGCTAGCGGCAACCTTCGCAGCATGTTTGGAATACCACTGGGCCAGATTAAAGAGTATGCCGAACAGCTCAAAATAGGCATCGTACAATGACCTAAAATGGGTTGGTAACAGAAAGCCCAGATTGCGCACTTACGTTGGTGTGGGCTGCCGACTGAGCGAATTCGACCAAGAGTAGCGCACAACTCGACGTAAAGAAGGACGAGTCTTGGTCGCAGGGTCAGGAACCGACTTCTTTCCTTTTTTATCTTTCTTATCCTTACTGGTTTTCGGAGCCTCGCCACCGGCCTCACCATCCTTGTCCTCACCATCGCTGTCGCTTTCGTCAGTGTCACTAGACAAAGCTTCGGACATCACGGGGCCGTCAACCTCTGGAGCTTCCACAAAGCCCATCAGCAGGCTTATATACTGATTGGCTGACTCCATTAACGTTTCGGCAGAAAGGTTTGGGTCGGAGAACATGTCCAGGAGCCGCTGACGTTTGTCGGCTGCATGACTACAAACAGGACGTATTTGAAAAAATATAAAGCAATGAGCACGTCTAAATGTACAAAGCAACAGGCCAAACCGGTATAAAAATCAAAAGGACTTAAGCAACCAGGAAACGTCTGCATCGCGATACACATTCACGATACGTTTATTTCGAATTTGAGACAGAAAAAAAACGAATGAGGGTTCTCAGCGGCAGTGGCATGTGTTCGGTGACTATAAGCAAGCTTTCTGTGATTAGCCTCATTTCAGTCGGCTCGATATTCGGTTTTCTACAGACATTGTACGTGTTGCCTGTATATATATATATATATATATATATATATATATATATATTGAAAGATAGGCATCCCAAAAAATATAATCTGAAGATAGTAGGTTCTTTGATAAAAGTAAGAACTTTGTTAGTAAATCTTCGACGTCGGTTTCTGTGTCGTCGACAGACTCGAATAAATGTACAGCAAGCAAACAAAATTTCAAACGTGCCCAAAAGTCGATACCTTTCCAGCAATTCTGCCATGTACAAAAATCTCAAGAAGGGGGTGGAAGAGACGAGAACCAATGGATACATAATAAGCTATGCGGAGAGATACCTCTCTGGCCGGCATTTCCGCCAGTAGGCGTCATCCGCATAGCTTATTATGTATCCATTTGGTTCTCGTCTCTTCCACCCCCTTCTTGAGATTTTTGTACATGGCAGAATTGCCGGAAAGGTATCGACTTTTGGGCACGTTTGAAATCTTGACTGCTTTCTGTACATTTATTCGAGTCGGACGACACGTGACACCGACATCGAAAATCTACTAATAAAGCTCCTACTTCTTCTAAAGAACTTATTATCTTCAAGCACAAAAATATACATATGTATAGTCCATGTGGACTATAAAGGCAATGCAGGTTTAGAAGTTCTTTAGATGTAAGATTGTGTTTATGACCTGCAGAGGGTCCGTGCAGAACTCGTTGTAGATATTGGCCCTAAGTCGAATATAGGACGCCCTGTAGCCTTATATGGATTCCTGTGGAACCACTGGTCCATTTCAAGACAATCCCGGGACAGTCAAAGGGGGCGCAACTCGGCAAGGTCAAACAAACAATAAAGCAAATTTCCGGTAGTTAAGCCAGGTAGACGACTTATTATAATGATAATAATCAAGATGAGTTCAGCTTTTTTGTTTTCAATTTTTCTCAAAGGAATTGTGAGGACCGTAGACGCAAGTCGTGTTAAATGACGGGGTATCGGCCATGCAAATTGTCCAGAAAAAGAGGTAGTTATGGCACCTGTGTGGGTGTCGGATTTATACAGTAACAAAGGTGAAAACTAATGGATCCAGACCGAAATCTTAGGACCGGCGATCCGGGAAATTAAGGACATGCTTAGAAGGATGAACCTTAAAGTAGTGTTTGACCACTAGATTTCCTCAGTTTCATGTTACAATACCATGCATCATTTTCTCAAATTTGTAAATGTTCACTCCATATTGGCCTGTTGGTCTCCTTTAGCTCTGTTTTAAAGACACGAACAGAGTACCCTGCTTTCGGTTGTCCGTAATTTTTTTCTGTCTGTCTGTTTGTGTTTGCTATCCAGTCAGTCCTTTTTGTTTGCCTGTATTTTTCAGTAGTTGCTATAGCCACCATTCCTAATAACTTCGTTGTTTTTCATTGCCTTGAGCCCATTTTTTCTAGTTCTCAATTTAATGGTTAGGATCTTCCAACGTTGGGTGCACATTCGGCTTCTTTATCCAACATTTGCCTCGCTTTCTCTATGTACTCTTGTGCATTTAGTGAGATTCAGTAAAATATAACGTTTTTATTCATCACAGCCGAACTAATTTATATACGGAGGACGAAACATGTAGAAGACTTATCTACTAATGACACATTCATATTTGATATTGACGTTTTTCACTCTGTGCTCCTTTCTTTCGGCTTCTCTAGACCATAGATTGGTATCCTATGAGGTGCATTAAAACCAAACGTTATGTGCTGCTGCTCAGGTCACACGATATAGCTGTACCGGTGCGCACTCGCCAATGACCTGCATGCAATTTAAAAGGGTATTTTGGAAGATTACCTTTATTTTATGCCGGTGCCTGGAGGACGTCTATTCTTTTATGAAATATTTAGAGGAGTACAATCAGTGTGTGCGGAAAATCTGTGGCCGACACATTCCGAATTTATCCACAAATATAATAGCATTGAATTTTTGGGGAAGTCGAAGACGATGCTCCACGAGGCTTTACGAGGGAAAATCCCGCAGGACTCTGTGAACGGCCATTGCTAATTTATTTGATTGAAATGCTTAATCCGCGATCGCCGTGGCATTTTGCTCAATGAAAAACGGAGAACTATAAGGCTGTCCTCTAGGCACTGCTCATTTGCTATGTGGAGACGTGAGCAGTGAGCGCACTCCGACTAGGTAAACTAAGCCAATTTCTATCCGGGCGTCTCTGTAAAGTCTTAAATATAAACTGGGAGTAAAGGGCCGGAAAATGTCATTTTTTATGTTATGCTAAAACGAATGCAACTGATATGGAGTGACAAAGTCGTGAGAATGAGTCGCATGCGTCAGTTCAAATGACTGTCGCAATTGTGCCAACAGGTAAGGTTAGAAAGAGTGACACTGCGAACCTTTTTAAGACCTCTATGAAAAGCCATTGTCACATCCAATTGCCCTTGGGAATGGTAGGTTGTACCCGCACAGGCTGACCTGTCAATCGCGTAAAATCCTCAGCAACAACAGTTGGAGCTAACTTCGTAGCCCATATCAACGTAACACAGGAGGATCGAAAAAAAGTAGGCACCCGTAAGGTCTTGGATGTGTGGATCAGGACTTCACGCAAGCCACTGCTTCATTGATCAAAGGTAGCCAAGTTGGCAGCGTTGATCCTGCATCTTATCATGGCACGCCTCCCCTGTGTTTGATGAAGACTGTTTTGCCGAAGTCCTTCGAATGTTAATGCAACCGCAGGGCTGTGTCCTCGCGCCTACCCTCTTCAGTCTCATGTTCTCTCCCATGCAGATGGGTCCCTACCGCGAAGAACGCAAGGGATCTGAACCACCGGCGGATGGACCTTCAGTCGCGTGTATCCACATCGATCGTCCATGAACTTCTCGACGCCGACAAATGCGCCCTCAACGTCACTTAGCAAGGGGACATGCAAAGGACCACGGACCTCTTCGACGCCGACTACGACAACATCGGCCTGGTCATCAACACGGACAGAACAGTGGTTATGCATCGACCGCCACCCGACGCTGCATACGTCGCACTCAAAATCAACGTGAACGACTTCCAACTCCAAGTCGTGGACAACCTCACCTACCCGGGCAGCGCCGTCTCCTGCACCACCAAGATTGACCATGAAGTGCCAACCAGGCCTTCGGCCGTCTGCAAAGCACAGACTAGTATCACCACGGTCTTCACCTCAACTCCGCACTGAAGATTTACAAGACGGTCATCCTGCCGGTGCCGCCGTACGGAGCGGGGACCCTTATACTGTACGAGATGCTCGCGCGAAGATTCAACCCCTTTCACCCCGGATGTTTTCGACAGATACAGAAGTTGAGATGGGAGGACCGGATCCCGGACACGGATGTACTGGAGCAAACAGGAATCCTCAACATTTACGCCATGGTGGACAGCTGCAACTGCATTGGTGCGGCCACCTCGGGCGCCTCCAGTAACGCTGCGCCGCTCGCGCTTGCCCTGTGCATACATACGACAGTCGACCGTCGCGACCGATGATGTCCATCGTGTGCTCCACAACAGGCTGAGATCAGGGAATGTGACCTGCGCGTGATTTCTTTTATGGTAACAATAGACCTGCGCTGCATGTACTGCATCTCTCCTCCTCCCCCAGTTGGGTCCGCGCGTACCAATGATAGTCTGGTTATCAGCCAATCACAGCCATCCAAGCGAACCAATCAACTGCAAGGCTGCCTCAAGGCGCCGTGATGACACGTCACTCAGACTAAGGACGACGCTTCTTGCGGCACTGGACGCGTGCCCTCGTTCCAGCTGTTTTGTACAAATTGCAGTAGCTTCTGAACTGGCGTGCAATTTCTCGCCTTCCTATTTGAACCTGGGCATGAAAGTTGTAGTGGTTACTTTGCATTTTGGTTTAAGCTACCATTACTGCGAAATGTGCGGGTTGTAGATTGCGAACCCTAAACGCAAATGCAACAGCAGGTCGGAGTCAAAATTATTTGAACACTAAAAACTTTTTAAATCCGAATATACCGCTGGCTCAGGCAGAAAATTGGAAGAAGACGTGATCAGCTATCGAATTAGAACAAGAAAGGATATTTTGACTCCTTAGTCTGTCCTAATGGGAAACTCATTTCCGAATTTCGACTAACATTTCGTGAGGTAATTCGCTGACTGTAACTAATCATAAACACTATTCTGCACTAAAGAATTTACGAATACAAGTTGGTAGATGTTTTATCTCCGACCATCTGAGGTCAGTTAGGCTCCTTTTGGATTTCGACATACCCATACGTCAGACCCTAACCTCTTTGTAACGAATGTTGCAGTTCGGGCGTTTAATCACAGACAAGGCAAGTTGTCTGACTCTTATTTAAGGAAAAGTAAGGTTTATGAGGTGGTAACCGAAAAGGAGAATTATTCAAACGGGTTTTCCTTATATATGATTACACCTTAACAACATTACTCCCCTTCAACATACTATCTGCCCGCTGCGTTAGTTACTCATGATCACTGCATAGTTAACTGAAAGGGAAGAGTGTTTGGTAAATATACCCAGTGGGAAAGGACGGCACTGCCAATCCACTTGCCTACGGAAAATAATTCTCACTTTACGCGTACCCCCCATAATTGTAAATGTAGATACGGCTTTCATTGCAGGAACTTGCGTGCTCACAGTCCCTCCGGGCGTGTCGAAATTAAAAACAAAATGCCTACTTATTAATCAAAGTAGGCGCATTTCACCAGGCAAATCAGATGAGCGACTTTTCAATGGGGATTTTCACAGCTATCATCTCATCAGTTACAGTATGTGACCTAACTCATGAAAGTTGTCGAAATTTACGAATGACTGACAATCACTCGCAGACCGACACCATTTAATGAATCGAACGGTTATGTTAATTAAGTAAAGTTTTAAAGAATTAAAAACGTAAAAGTAATATTAAAGGCGCTGTTGCGTCGTTTAGAAATGCCGAATTTTTTTAGAAAAGTGCAATATCCCAAAAACGTTAGAAATGGCTCTAATTTAGGTAACTTCGTTTTTAGATGTACAGAATGTACCAAAGACGTAGTAAATATGAAAGTGGAAATAAAATAACGTCTAGTAATAGTGTTTTAGTGAAGTTTACACCTAAATATCTTTTAATAATTTGTGTGATTTACTCTATAATGGTTTGTCAACTGCCTACATTCTGAGTGTAGATTCCGCAACAGTTTTTCAGGGATTCATGGTATTCTTGACTCGTTTGAGTTAACTGAGATGGCGTTCAACAAGAGAAACTGGAGTTTGATTGACTTGCGTTGCGTTGTTTTGAAGTGTCAATTTTTTGGAAATGTGCAATATCCCGAAAAAGTCAGAAATGACTGAAATTTAGTCATCGTTTTTAAATGTATAGACTGTATTCGCATGCCAAAAACGTAGTAAATATAAAAGTACAAACACAATAACGCTCAATAACAGTGTTTCAGTGAAGTTTTCATCTAAATATCGTTAGGGAATTAGTGTGATTGCATATATGGTGGTTTGTCAACAGCCTACATCCTAAGTATAGATTCTCAAGCAGTTTTCCAGGGATTCATGGTATTCTTGACTCGGTTAAGTTAACTGAAATGGAGTTCAACAAGAGAAACTGGAGTTTGATTGACTTCACCGATGGGGACGTGGTAGGAACAAAAGTTTTCACAAGGCGACATGCTGCCAGGCCGATCGGTGTCTGATAAATTTAAATAGAACTGATAATCGTGATCGTTAATATACTTTTTGTGTTTATAGAGAGAACTCTTCTTCCGTTAAATTAATTTACACTTTTGGTTTGTTTTGGCATACGATGAGCTTCAGATCGGCCCTGAAATTTTGCTGAATACCTCATGATTTTCAGTGGCTTCACCCGATCGTTCATAAATACAGATTCTGAATTACCTGTCTGATAAAAACTTTAAAATAAGATAACTCTTGAAGGCGTCTACCAAATTAGTCAGTGGTTTGGCGTTTTTTTACAAAAAGGTCGTTTGGGTCATATGTAAAGACTTATTCAAACACAAAACTTCATTCTCGAGATAAATGGCTGTTCGCAACGAAAGTCAGCAACGAATATGTCTTCGATCAATAAAAAACCTACCTTTATAAGTCACCTCTTTAAAATGTGCTTTCATTTCTGCCCACGTAAACGAAGAAATCCCTGCCGGCGTTATTTCTGCACTTCAGGACACCAAATCGCACATATTTGTTAACATAACTATTAAGAATCGATACAACATCTGGTTTTCTTAAAATAACATTTGTGTTAGCCATTTGATTACCACGGTTAACATCGGACATAAAATAAATTTTCAAGTCTGACAAAATCTGTTTATTATAATTCTTACGGGTGATTTAGTATTCTTTCAATGAAAAACACGTTCAGATGCACAACAGAAGTCTAGGACATGCATTAGCATAGGTAATTGCACGAATTATTTGTAACGGTCATTTTCGCTAAATTTTATTAATATTTTGCTTGATATACTTGCGTAAACACTCTGCATTGAAGGAAATGGAGGACCAAGCAAAATGCACAACGCAAAAGACGTCCAGAAATTCTCGCATCAATTTCCATCATCAGGTTTCATGAGATAGGCCACGTATTGCACACCTAGTCAGGGCTGAAAAAGAGCCCTAACAGAACTTTGCATTTATGGAACCAGTACAACGCACGACAGCTGTCTGCACAGTGACAGAACAGTGTAACTACACAAAATTTAAAAACGTGAATCTCGGAAGATTTCCATGAAGGTAATTCCTGCTGAATACGACCGGAATACCTGTGCCAGGTAGGGTAACGGGTGTGTTTTAACGGTCAAAATTTCACGCCTGGTTCTGATTAGAAAGAAAAGACGAATGACACCGACAGGAAGCCTGCATTCTAAGGGAAGGGATACCCACAAAGGCAATAGAGACTGGTATGGCCATTCCTGACTTCCAGGCGATCGTCGGCCAGCCAGAGCAAACACTGGGTTTGCATGACCTAGCATTCAAACCCGGATATCCTGGTCATTCAGTGTTTTTTTATGTTTAACCCCATCCGAATCTACACTCGAGTATTGCTGGCTGACGACGACTAATAAGACATAAGTGGTCATACAAGCGAAGATGCGAGTTCCGGGCACTAGTTGATAGGATGAAGAAGAAGAAGCGATCGCTGGAACAACGGCTTGACGGCGGTCAGAGACCTCGACAGCCACTCTTCCAGAAATCCCATATGAACGCAAATGATGAAATGCGTATTTCATTAAACAACCCATCAGCGTGAAACTGGCTGGTTGATTGCGTGATTTCAAGACTTGTAATTGCGCGTAGGTGCCTGCTTTTGGGGCTTAATGCTTGAAAGTGCTGAACCTAACCTGTCCTCTGTGCCAGGGTAGGACCTCTTCGCCACTGTCTGCGGAAAATTAGCCCTGATCGTCAACACAGAGAAAACGGTGGTCATGCATCAACCGCCACCCAACGCTGCCTACACTGCACCCCACTGCCCGCCGGATCTCCAAAGCCAGCCAAGCCTTCGGTGGCCTTCAGAGTACCGTCTGGAATCGACACGGTCTCCACCTTCACATCGAGCTGAAGATGTACAGTAGGTGGGCTAAGTCATGAAACGTAAACCGAAGTTCCCAAATGCGTTTTCGTTTCGAAAGGATTACTTAAGTAGGGTCGTAAAACCAATCAGCATGCAGCATAGTTCTCCAATAATTCAGTTACCTTAGGATGCCGGCCTTCGACCGGACTTCTTTCTGGCTGCATTCAAAAAGAATACTCCAACAAAAATGACTTCTTATATAGCACGCATTTTTCTCATTGATTTTGTATGTCCTTAAACATTCACTTATATTCCATGGAAAATGTGCATAAAAACATTCATTCTCTTGCTAATTCGGTAAAAAATCACATCCTCTTTTAATTTTAAACTCCAAGAAAGGTAAAATTCAGTTCTAAAAAGTTTTTAATTGTGGAAATATTTGATACCGTGAACTGGCCGTTAATAAAACATCATGTCTTTGCATTTACCAGTGTGGTTTGTGAAGTTAACAATATGGCTCAAATCCACTGCCAAATTTTATGAACCACTTATGGTCTTCTTTTATTAATGGAAAGAAATGTATGGTTTGTACGTAAGCGGAAATTATACCGCCTGTGATTTGGAAATCCTGAATGCAAGTAACGGTAAGCCGGCCTTCAAAATTATTCGGGAATTGGAAATGTTTTCGAAAACCGAATTATATCTCTCCGTCAAGTATAAAAATTGGAAAAAGACGTCATTGTCTACGGAATGATTAAATGAATGCATATTTTTATGCATGTTTTCCATGAAATAGAGCTAGGTTTCTTAGGGCATCGAAAATAAATGAGACAGATTCATGTAACTTAAGTGGTCATTTTCTACAGAGTATAGTTTTTGCATGCAGCGGGAAAGAAGTTCGTTCGGAAACCGGCATCCTGCGGGAACTTAAGTATTATAGAATTACGCAGAATGACGATTATTTTTAAGACCTTGATTGATTAATTTTTTTGAAACGAAAACGCATTTTGGAATTTCGGTTGACATTTCATGAGTTAGCCCACCTACTGTACGAGGCAGTCATACTGCCAACGCTGCCGTATGGAGCGGAGACCTGGACGGTGAGCGAGAAGCAGGCGCGTACGCTCAACCGCTGCCACCTTAGCTGGCTTTGGAACTGAGATGGCAGGACCGGATCTCGGACACTGAGGTCCTCGAGCGGATCGGAAACTTCAGCATTCACGTCATTGTGGAAAACCTACAATTGCCTTTGAGTGGCAATTTCGTGTGGATGAAGGATGAGCGGCTACCCGAAGGACTCTCCTAAGGGAGATGTCGCCACAAGTTCCCGCAGCCAAAGAGGACAAATTCGTCGATACAAGGACACTCTGAAGACCCCCTGAAACGTCGTCAGATCAACCCGGCTAACTGCAAAGACCTCAACCAAAATAGACCGTCCTACGGCCAGACTACGGCCACCTTGACAGCCAACACTGAGAATTTAGTGTTATAACGATGTAATATATGTTTATGTAAGTTATTAAGCATGGGCCACGTCGCACACCGCTGTTCGCATTCACCACGATGCCTGTAGACCAAACAATTTTCCTTCCTTTCCCGTATCTTAAGTGTGTGTCAACTTTCCGCTGTATTTGATCAACAAAGCAAGTTAATGTGACCCTAAATTCTGTTAACGCATGACATTCTGTGTTTATCTGTACAGTTTTTGCTATTCCCCTCGCATTTCTTTCATGTTATTTCCTTTCCATTTCCTCCATATATATCCTCTGCATGTAACCAATAGGGATTTCAAAGGTACACACCTACTTTCCCTGAAATATACTGGTACTGATACTGAAAAAGGACAGCAAGGACGAGCGCAGCGATCTACGAAGCCAATCGTGTCACTGACGCCAAAGTCAAACACAAAGGTCGAAAATCCAAACTAACACAACCTCACAACTCCAACCCTCAACCGCCCCAGTATACCCACAGTGTCGGCAGACATTCCAGGCACAAATCGATCTTTTGGACATCTTAAGACCAAATGAAGCACTCAGAAGACACCGAATGATGCCTATCCGTCCATCTGTGTCCCGTCTCCATGTCGTTAAACAACCCTAACGATGCTCCAAATCCCCCGTCGCTATCCTACATCATCATCATCATCATTATCATCATCATCATCATCATCATCATCATCATCATCATCATCATCATCATCATCATCATCATCATCATCATCATCATCATCATACCGTCTCAACGTCTGCTGCGATGGATGCTGTACACAGAACCGACGCAAGCAGTCATAACGCACCGTCATCACAACCGAAACCGGTAATTTGGACCCGGTCACAGCTTATCCACACTGCCCCCCGTACCTTTACCTCACGCATCGGCCTGGTCGGCCACCTGCGAGTCCATCGCACGGAGACTAGCAAACCAATGCCCGAGGCACCAACATACACTCGTTGTAATTGCCTCCACTGTTCACACTGTACACACAAATTTCCTCACCGCCGGGGGCTTACTTGGTCACATACGCCAATGGCTATTGTATTGTCAACAAAATAAAAATCCGAAGCTGTTCCCAGCTTTGACCACCGCCCTCAGATTTCTTGAAAAAGGCATCAAATGGCGCAAAAATAACTTAATTTCTGTTTAGGAAACGAGGAGGAGGGAGGAAGGGCAACAAGCAAAGCACCACAGATGTCTTGCCAAAAGATATTTAAACAAATGTTGGAGAGCTCTAAATGTACTACCGCCGTAGTTGAACTGAAACGTAAGCATCCACTTTTCGATCGCACACGCGGCATTTGCAGTCATGCTAAATGCTGGTTCCAGACGTGTCCTCATAAAAGTGCTTAAGGGCGCGAGAACACTGCACCGTTAACTGTGCACAGATATCCGGAGCTGAGGGGTTAAAGTCTGTGTTAAAGATGACGGAGAGATGGAGTCGTTAGAGCCTGGATGTCCTACTGACGGATTATTTTCCTCTTCAGTCAGTCACATTTGCACCGGAAAGTGCTGAGTCCAAGTCCAGTTGACTACTACGACTGGAATCCCTAAATTACAACCCAGATTCACATCATTCCGGTCAACCATGACATATGCAGTAATATTTCCGGGTAGTGCTTGACTCTTAAGGATGAGTTATGAAAATCCCCATTGCTATATTCAGAAGAAAAAGTGGCGAGCGAACGTTGCTTTCGATAACTTTTCATCAGGCCAGTACTGTTATATGGGACTGGGTACAGTGAGCGAGAAAAACATCGATAAAAGTTAGTTTTTTTTAAATACAAGCTAGGTAAAAGCGGAAGGGCACAGAAACTTGTATGTGGTTAGTCAACTTTTAACAACCGTACGTGCGGAGTCTGGACAAGGTTCTTCTGGGCGCATAGGGTCGGGTTTCGTAAACTGATGACGGCCGCTTCTGCTGTTGCTAACAGGCACTGGCCCAGTAGCTTCGGGTAGCTCGAGGGGACCTTATAAATCACACGAAATGCTTCAGCGGGGTCCACACGATGCCCTGAATCCACTGCATGCGCAAGGATGGCGCTGTCTATTCTCCTAGTTTCGCCTTTTGCCAGCCATGCGGAAAGGTGCTCTCGTATTCTTTTGGAAAGGCGCTGACTCGTACGACCAACATATACTGCTCAACAGGAGCATGTATATGAGTAGATGCACATTGAGGCGGTCTGAGGTGGCAGTCTATCCTTGCCTTCTCCGCATAAAATCGGGTTATTAGAGAATGATATGCGAACCCCTGCTGTTGGGAAGGTTCCCGAGACAGCTTGGTCAAGGCGTTTTCTGATGAGTTCACTTTCTGCGTCTCCTTGGAAAGGGATTTTGAGAAACAACGTCTTCTTTTTGGCCGTCAGTTTCGCAGGTCGTTCGGTAAGGTACTTTGCAATGAACCTGTCAGGATATCCGCTTTTGCGAAGCAAGTCCTGGATTTTTCTAAGTTCCTCCTCGATACTATAAGTTTAATAATTTTTTCTAGCCCCTTGTGCCAAACACCTGACAAGATTTCGTTTCTGTTGGACAGGTACGAAACTAGCGAAGTTCGTGTATTGTCTAGACCAGGTTTTCTTCCGATAGACTTTTATCGATTTTTTACTCACTCTACCCCGTTGCAATATAAATGTAGTGGCCTGACGAGAAGTTACCGCAAGCGACGTTCGCTTGCCACCTTTTCTTCTTCAGAATGACATGGCATGTGACGACTGAAATTCAAGCCCAGACGGACTTGGCATCGTGTTACATAACTGGGCCACAAGGCCAAAACCCCTTTCCCCTGATCATACACTTGCCCTTCCATGTTACCTTTCTGTTTACTTAAATTTACGGGCCAAGTCTGCGATAACCAACGGACGCATAGATGCGCATCGAAAGGGCGGCGAGGGCGGAAAACGCAAGTTATCCAACATCCAGTCTTCCACCTTCCTGCGATCTCCGAAATTCAATAACATTAGGGTGAAAAGACCGTTGTATACGCAGTCCCATTTGATACAACATTGCGATTACGCCGAACGCGAAGGTAATTCGAGAGCAAGTCTCGAAAGTCTCTTACCCAGGACCTGACTGCAGAGATAATTGCAAGACGATGACTTGCACGCGAATAAGATTTTAGTGAGTTAGGCGGGATGCAGGGCTGTCTGTACGCTCTCCTCGTGTCTAACCATTTTGCCTAAGTTGAGTCGCGGCACTTTATATGGAGCTGGGAGGTCATTGTGCTTATTATCGCGCGGTTGTCGCTTCTAGCGAAAATTTCTGCTTGTCCAAACTTGAATATGTGGTAGGGTGCTGTTAAATGTGCCGTGACTTGGGAGATGGCGTCGTTCTTCCTCACTGCTGCTTCGTGCTCAGCCATCCGCGTCCAGAGTAGTCTTCCACAGTAGTATGGAAACTTACGAGTGAATGCCTATCAATTACGAACCGACACCAAAACACACGTCTAATACCTACATTAATAAAAATCAATTTTGGGCTAAATGAAAACAAAAGAAATATTGGAGGTAATATTAAATTGTTTGAACATACAGATTTTCTAGAGTAGCGGAAAACTCAAAAGACGTCAATAATGGCTGTGATTTCGTAAACCTCGGCTTTAGACGCACTGGAGTCCGGCCAACCAAAAACCATAGTAAATATGACAGTAAAAATAGAATAAAGTTTAAAGATAGCGCTTCCTGAAGTTTACATTGAAATATCTTTTAAGAATTAGTGCTGTGTCAGGCATGGTGGTTTGCCAACAGCTTAC